TCAGTTTTGCTGTGTGCTTTGGGTCATTGTCATGTTGGAATATAAACCTTCTTCCCACTGACAACTTTTAGGCAGAGGGCAACAGATTTTCCTCAAGAATTTGACGCACCTCCATGCTTTACTGTAGGAATGCTGTTATTTGGATGGTGAACTGTATTGGATTTCCGCCAGACATATCGTTTGGTGTTGAGGCCAAATAATTCAATTTTAGTCTTATCTGACCATAACACCTTTTTCCATGTGGCCTCAGAATCTTCAAGTTGTGTTTTAGAAAAGCTCTGTCGTGACTGCATGTGGCCTTTCTTGAGGAGTGGCTTTTTTCTTGCAACCCTTCCATGCAAGCCACATTTGTGGAGAATTTGTGATATTGTTGTCACGTGCACACAATGACCACCATTTGTCATAAATTGACAGTGCCTTGCCTCCCATTTTTGATCGTTTGCTTCAGTTGCACTATCAAGAACTGAAATGCTCCAGGAAAGCTCTTTTCATGCTGAGCTAATCAAAATAACCACAGCTGAACGTAAAATGGTTTTGTGTGCCATTGAGAAGGTGATTAGCTACACCTGACTGAGTTTACAAGTCATTTTTAAGAGGGGGTGGTCCTTTTTCCAACTAAAGCCAAGTTCACTTTACACAAATTTAAATGTTGGCAGATCTCTGTGCTGTTCAGACTACATGACTTGCTATCTGTCTTGAAGTCGTTGTGGTGTTCACACTACGTGACACTATGTAAATGATTCGCAACAGGGGGTGACACACTACACGACCTGACAACAACTCTGTCACCCAAGGACTCTATCGGAGGCCCGTTTCAGAAAGGAGGTTAAGTGAAAACTCTGAGTATGTTAACCCTGAAATGAGGGAAACTCTGGGTTTTCCGTTTCAGAATGGGAGGTTTATCAAACCCGAGAAAGCAGGGTAAGGTGTTGATGCACAAACTAGTAAAGAATCTTAGAACATTCATATGTTGCATAGGTATCAACATGTAATGTGCACTCTCAATTAGATCATCCGAATATGAATTAATAGAGACCAAACACGTTATATGTAAGGTTACATGAATGAGTGGTTCTATCATAAGCATGCATAAAATAGTCTACAATACAACAGATAATATACAAGACCGCAATAATATACACAATGACCTGAAGGATCTGTGTGTTCATTCAAAGAAAGGTTTTCTTATGAATTAATTAATTAAGTCCATTTCTACTGTGCATTTGTGGATTTTCCTTATGGAAAAGGCAGTGATTTTCCGCACCTAAATTCCATTAGGTCGTAAATGTATCTGGTGTCAGGGTTGCCATGGTAACCAGGGTCCTGGGCCTTGTTCAACAGACATTTTGGCACCCAGTATGTTTATTGGGTGAGGGGTCTGTGAATGTTTGTTAATCTAATGAATAATTGATTTGTTAAATCAAATGACAAATGGTGTGTCTGATTGGTCCAGACGCTACACAAGCTAGTTTCTGAAAGAGAGGTAACTTATACTCAGAGTCAGTTACCATGGTAACTTACACTGTGAACCTAACCTGGTCGGGAGCAGGTTTACTTCATTAAACCCAGAGTTTCTTTCGGTAAGCAATGTTTAAATACCTCATTCATTCATTCATGCTGAAAAAATGCATTTCTTAGTGAGTATTTTGTAATCTAAATTAAGTGCATTTTAGTTAAAACAAGAAAAATAATATTAATGCAAATGGAAACAAGATTTTTTTCTTACCCCATTGGCAGATAAGTTGCAAATTAAGAAAAATACACTTAAAAGACTAAATACCTTGTCATTTTTCTTATGCAGAAAATGCATCTTGATTTAAAAAAATCTTTAGATATTTTGACTGGAAACAACCAGACAAAAATACTAAGTAAGAAAAGCATTTTTTGCAGTGCAGGTACATTCATTCATTGCACGCATTTTCATCATGCAGACACTCTTAAAGTGACAAAAATGGCATGTCCTCTTATATCTACTGAATCCTGTAGATGAGGAGGCTACATTAATTCGTAGGGAGTAACATTTACATCGGGAGAGGATTATTTAGATTTTTTTATATCCACATGCATATTTATTTGAGCGGTACCATTTTTAAATGGTAGTTTTCTATATAACATCAGGGATGCAGAGCATATTAGGAAGGCCTCTGTATGCAGAAAGTGTACGGCTCGTTCGGTAAGGACAGTGTGTCTTGCTCTCACGCTCTTTCTTATAATATTTGTGTAGGTTTCTGAGCACAAACCCATTGAAAATGAAGCTGATTACTGTATGGAATGGAAGGATGCCAGATGGAAGGGTAGTTCGAGATATATGCCTTAACCACCACCACAGCTGTTAAATTTATTTGCTCATCTTTATTTCCTACAAATACAAAAGCAACAGTTATTCTTTTTCCTGTTGGATTTTAATATTATTCCAATAATTGGTATTGTGACCATCTCCTCTTCATCTGTTCTGCATTATTTTTGCGAGCCTTCTTGCTGTTGGATGAGTAGAAGTCAAATGTTAATTTCATTACTCTAATTAAGAAATGCAACCGTTTGGATTAGAGAACATTTATGTGAGAAGAGCATTAAACTATGTGGTAAAAAAGCTTCTGCGCACTGAAATAGACACTGGATGATATTTATTTAATTTGTCAAATGCTCATGAGCCTTTTATGCTTAAAGCTTTACCTTGATTGAATTATTTTTTTATAATTCGTTTAGCTGATTTTTTTTTTCAAATTTTTACCATGAAAATTAATGTTACTTCAATAATTTACCATTCTGCCACATTTTACCTTTGATATTATAACAGTGATTAAGAATTAAAGTTATGACTCGGAAGTATGCGGACGTCCTTTTGGCGGGAGCTGTTGCCATGGTGAATCATAATTTCGGAGCTCCATTGATCATGGCTTTTCATAGTCGTAGTGCACGCACTAAACTCAGAGTCAACCTACTCAGAGTCGATTGAACTAACTCAGAAAACTAACTAATTGAAAACTCAGTTTCCCATCTCAGGGTAAGTCAACTCAGAGTTCAAGTTTCAACTCGGAGTTGGTTGAACCTCCTTACTTGAAACGGGCCCCGGGTCTCCAAACCATGTTTTGTCACGAAAACACACACAAGAAGTTGAACAGGGATGACGCGAAACAAGAAGTGAAACAGGAGTTGTTTATTTGAAAATGGACGTCGGGAAGAAATTACTGCTGCAAGTTGTTTGCGTGATGATCTGTTCTGTTTTTTTATTTTATTATAATTTTTTTTTTCTGACATGTTGGGGTTATATATTTCACCTGGATGTTATAAGTTGCACTGAATAAATACAGCTGGATAAAAACTGTGTCTGTCTTCATTTCAGGCTGCAAAGCA